CTGTCCAGTCGTTCCGTAAGACCATTTGCTTGCCGTCGTTTTCCTATGACTGGTGTGCGTCAATATCATAATACAGTTCATCGGGTCGGCCGTAAATGCAGTCCCTCGGTCCGTGATCAACGCTTTTGAAGCTCCGTGCCGCAGTACGATGTTGGAGACGAAGAATTCGGCTACTTCAACGGCTGATCCTTTAACAAGAGTCGCTGTCTCGACATATCTGGTTAAATAGTTGGTCGCAACTATTATCCACAGTTTTCCCGATGACGACGTAGGAAATGGGCCCAGTAAGTCCTTTCCCACTTGTGTGAATGGGGTTTCTGGTGGTTCTATCGGTTGAAGGAGACCTGCTGGTTTTAGCGGTGGCGTTTTACGTCTTTGGCAGTCCCGGCAGGTTCTGACATAGTGTCGTACAGAGCTAAGCAACTTCGGCCACCAGTATTTAGTGCGGATGCGTACTAACGTTCTGCTTACTCCTAAGTGTCCAGCTGATGGATCGTCGTGGCAAGCCTCCAAAATCTCTGGTCGCAGAGGTGAAGGGACGACAAGCAGGAATGTCGCTGTGTTGTTGTCAAAGTTCCTTTTATACAGGATGTTGTTTCGTAGAACGAACGCTGACAAGCCGCGGACAAAAGGTCGTGGAACATCGACAGACTGTCCTTGTAGGTACTTGATCAAGAGGAGTATCTCAGGGTCGGATCGCTGCTGATGTGCCATCTCTGATGGTGTCACAGCTCTCAAGAAAATAAAATCTTCACCATCCTCGGTGGAAGCAGAAGCAGCAGGTTGAATCGAAACACGTGACAAGCAGTCCGCATCACTGTGCTTGCGACCTGACTTGTACACAAGCATGATATCATACTCCTGTAATAGCAAGCTCCATCGTACAAGCCATCCACATGGGTCCTTGAGATTAGCCAGCCAGCATAGCGAATGATGGTCGCTTATAGCTCGAAAAGGCCTACCATATAAATATGGTCGAAACTTGCTGATAGCCCATACCACGGCAGGTCGCTGAGTAGTTCACCTCAGCCTTCGAAAGAGTGCGACTGGCATACGCAATGAGTCGTTCTTGTCCGTTTTGCGATTGGATGAGCACGGCCCCAAGACCTAAATTGCTTGCATCCGTGTGGATATCAGTTTCCACTTCCTCGTCAAAATGCGCCAGAACAGGATGGCTTTGAAGGTACTTTCGTAGTTCATTGAAGGCATCCTCACGTTCGGCAAGCCATACGAAAGGCATTTCCTCTTTTGTCAGCCACGTGAGTGGTTCAGCAATTCATGAAATTTTTTAACGAACCGTCGATAATAGGCGCAGAGACCTAAAAATCGCCTAACAGCCTTTTTGTCTGTTGGCTTCGGAAATCTTGCTACGGCCTCAGTTTTTGCAGGGTCTGAGCGGACGCCTTCTGCACGGATGACGTGGCCGAGAAAAAGGAGCTCACGGAAGCCGAAATGACATTTCTGCGGTTTTGTCGTCAAGTACGCTGATTTGATCACAGTGAGCACGGCCCGGAGCCTTTCCAAATGTTGCTCGAAGGTAGCAGAGAAGACTACAGCATCGTCGAGATAAACCAGGCATGACTGCCATTTAAGACCACAAAGCACTGTGTCCATTATCAGTTGTAATGTGGCGGGTGCTGAACAAAGGTCAAAATGGAGTACCTTGAACTCGTATAAACCGTCCGGTGTCACAAACGCTGTCTTTTCGTGATCTCTTTCGTCAACTTCTATCTGCCAATACCCACTTTTAAGATCCAATGAGGAAAAATACCTGGCATTTCGCAGCCTATCCAGAGTGTCATCAATTCTTAGCAGAGGATAAACGTCCCGTTTGGTGACCGCATTCAGCTTCCGATAATCAACGCAGAAACGTAAGGTTTGGTCTTTTTTCTTCACAAGAACAACAGGTGACGCCCATGGACTTGAAGGCTGGATTACATTGTCTTTGAGCATTTCTTTAACCTGATTACCAATAGCTTCTCTTTCTCTTGGTGACACTCGGTAGGTATGCTGGTGTATTGGCCTTATGGACTCTTCGACAATGATGCGATGTTTGGTGATAGGAGTGCGTCGAACCTTAGATGACAACAAGAAACATTCGGTGAATTCCCTTAAAAGACCCTCTATTTGCTCTTTTTCGCTTGGTAGTAGGCCTGGCTCGATGTTGATGGCTGCAAGGACAGACTCCACGTCTTCAAATCAGAGTCATTGGTTTCTAAAGTGCACAGCTACGTAACCTGGACGAAATCATTCAGACTGGCGATGATGGTTTCCTTTGCAACGTGCTGCACCTCATTTCCAAAGTTTGTGAGTAGAACATTTGCACATCCGTCACGTAACTTAACAAGGCCTCATGCCATGCAGATACCTTTTTGAAGTAGTAAGGCAGTGTTGTTGTCAGCAAATCCTTCGAATTCACTGAATGCTTTGTTGGTTACTGCGACAGATATGCTCGATCTTGGCGGCATTATGACGCCATCATCCGCAATACAAAGGTCCAATATGTTTTCTTCCATTTCAAAGGTAGCAATCGCGTGCCTAGTCGAGAGTGAGACGGAACATTCTCGCAAGGTAAATACAGCGCCTTTAGCTCGTAAGAAATTCATGCCAATAATCAAGTCTCTTGAGCATTCCGGCAGCACAATAAAACTGGCGACGTACGTGAAACCCCGTATTCCGATTCTTGCTGTGCATATTCCAGTAGGGTAGATGAGGTGCCCTCCTGCTGTGCGAACTTGTGGTCCCTTCCGAGGAGTCAGCACTTTCTTCAGTATTTTAGAAAGTCCGCTACTCATCACTGAATAATCTGCGTCTGTATCTACCAGTCCGATGACTTCGTAGCCGTCAATGAACACGCGCAAATCGGAAGCAACGTCACTATCGAAGCATCGGTATCTGAATCGGTCGTCGTTCAGAGTCAGCAATGGAGGTTTTTCTGCATTAGCGTCGACAGCGGCCTTGCCTCCACAAGTCACTGACTCTAGTTTTCCCGACGCGGGCTTGGGGAACGAGACCTTGGGGAGCTTGCTGAAGGTCGGGGGCTAGGCTACCTATACCTCCCTGTTGTCGTTGCACTGAGGTTGGTGTCATCGGAAGCCACTTGAGGTTTGACGACCTGACAGGTATTCTTCAATTTCGAAGGAACGTTCACCATTTCGTGGTCGAGGTGCATTAACAGGAAAACCACGTAGTCCTGCCTGGCGGTAGTGGCACGTTCGGCAGAGATGACCAGGCTCCCCACAGTGGTAACACAGCGGTATCCTGTCTCCTGTCGGGAGTGCGCCAGACATCGCTCTTCCTTAGTCTCCTCTCTGGCGTTGGCTGCAGGGTGCTCGGCGGCATCGGGTACTGCATAGGTGTAGCCGCCACGACGTCCGCACGTCCTGGAGGTCCTCGTAGTAGCACATCAGCATACGTCAATCTCGTCTTCTGTTGTAGTAGCGGCCCTGGCTGTGCGTTGCTCGAAGGTTCGCGTACCGCCTGCCTGACCTCCTCACGGATCACATCGGTCAGAGACCAAAGCATTGGAGCGTTCTGGTCAAGACGCTGCTTCTGCAGCTCTTCTCGCATAACAAACCGCACCAGCTCGCGTAGTGCTTCCATGCCGTTACCGAAGACTGGTGGCAACATGTCCAAGGAAGTGACGATCGCATCCCGGTTGTATAACCTTGCTCGCTGTTGTAGCGTCCTTTCCATTGTAGTCGCCTCGGAACGAAACTTGGTGACCGTGCGCTGCGGGCTTCGAATTAGTCCGGCAAAGAGTTCTTGCTTGACGCCTCGCATCAGATGGCGCAGCTTCCTGTCTTCGCTCATATTTGAATCCGCTCGGTGGAATAGGCGCGACATGTCTTCCATATACATGGCGACAGTTCCGTTATTTCGCTGATTTCTTGTCTGGAGCGCAGTTTCAGCTCTCTCTTTGCGGTCTGTGTTCGGAAAAGTAGCGAGCAGCTCCCGTCGAAAATCATTCCACGACCGGAAGGTAGCTTTATGGTTTTCATACCACGCTCGTGCGCTATCTTCCAGTGCAAAGTAAACACTTCCAAATTAGCGCTCTTCCCCACATCCGTTAGCCTTTGCGACGCGTTCAAAGTGCTCAACAGAACAGAACAGAAGGTTTTATTGTGCTAAATGAAGACGAATACATGTGCATGATATACAGTAAGAGGTCCCATAGTCAGAGACTGCAAGCCAGTCCTCGGCGTATTCGTAGCTTTCACCGTGGAAAGCCTTTGGTAGCATTGGCTGGTTCCCCAGAATGTTGGCTGGAGTGACCTGAGCTGTCATGTCGGTTGCGTACCCGTTCACAGCCGTTTAGGTTCTAAGGGAAGTCGATAAAGGTGAAAATTCAGGACCCTCACCACGTAGGTGTCGACTGCAGCGCTGATGAACAGGCGTCAGCTCATTGGGTCGAAATCGCTGTGGCTCTGGACTGTGCTCCGTCACTCGAGATGGGCTTGGCATCACACCCAGCACTTCCACCAGATTTGTAACGAACTCTTCAATGAACTCTTTTAATAGGCTAACGTAGGCAGGGCGAACTTGTGCCCGAGAATAATAACACAGCTAGATTGTCTCGAGGATTCACTTCTGCCTCTTCCTTCTACGCTCTTCTTTTTTTCCAACACGGTTTGCGCGCAGCTGGGTCCCTCAGGCTCGTGCGTCGCAAACCATCTAGAGGGCACAAGTATCGGCTAGCGCGCGTAATTTGAAGTCACATTGTGTCAATATCCTGACAGTTAATTGAGCCTTAAGTGAACCTATGCTCTGATGTCATACTTAGAATGTAGCTTTTAACTTGAACCATCGATTTTGTTACAGCTTTATTTTTAGGAGACTGTTTCTGAACATTCAGAAATCCGGAAGTGCTTAGAAAAGAAACAACAGCGTCCCTCGTTGCTAATGTTACACGCCGAAACCACGATAGCGCTCGAATGTATGCGTGAAATGTGCACGTATGGTGTGCCGTGCATTGACGCGGAGCGTGTGTGTGTGCGTAGCTAGGCCACCTGCCGAGCAACCTTTTCCTGGACGTGCGCGTAAGCGAGGTGCACCTGTGGGACACACCGCTGTCCAGCTTCGTGCAGGGGGACAGCGACGACGCCTTGCTCGGACTGCACGACACTCTGCGCTCTCTGGCCCTGCGACGGTGTGCGCTCAACAGCTCGCAGCCCTTTCACAGGCACGTCCCCAATAGCAGCAATAGCCTTATACCCAGCGCCTCCTCTGTTTTGTCAATGACAGCCAGATGCGCCCGATCTAGCTGTTCACCACCCTCTCCTCCAGCCCTTTTCTGCTTTCGCCCATCACCTAGCCTTCGCCTATGCTATGTGGTCATGGCCAAGAGAGCCCTTAATGCAGTGTCTCACGACGGCAATAGTATAAAGAAATTTTATGTTCATTTGTGTACATATCCGTAGGGCGGCGTCTTGCATTCCTCGTTATCATAATGTTGGTGGTCACGCTGGCTCTGTAAGTGATACGGCGTTTTCAGATAGCGTGTCGCCGTTCGTGGCACTATGCGGGAAACCAATGGGGACGCGTACCGGTGACGCTGCTGCATAACTATAGCTCTGTGATTTGGCGGCAGCATTGCTTCCAGCCACAAAGAAGGAGCATGAAGGAGCAAATCTGACAGACGTATGATAATGGAGAGGGACACACGTCTATAGCGTTTCCGTGGAAAAGCGCTCGGATGCATTTGTGATGCAAGCAACCCTACCCCTCCTGTGACGTCGCATGACGACCACTCTCTGAACTCCCGTTGAAGAGTGCACGTTTGTACTGACATTGAATGAAATAGAGGAGGCATGAGTATACCTATCCCTCTGACACAGTTTAGCACTTAGTTTCACGGTACATAATGTGAGGTACATTAGAGTGTATCTAGCCCTTGTATTGTCTGCTTTTAATCATTAATTGTTGCTATTAGTACCTTGTTTTGAATGGGGCATGCTTTGGAAGAAATGAATCGTATGACGATGGAAGTTATAAAGGAATATGTCTACTTAGGACAGGTAGTAACCGCCATGCGGAACCACGAGATTGAGATAGCTAAAAGAATAAGAATGGGGTGGATCACATTCGGCAAGCATTCTCAAATCATGAATGGTAATCTGCCACCAAACCTCAAAATAAAAGTGTATAACAGCTGCATCTTGCCGCTACTGACCTACGGAACAGACACCTGGAGGCTTACAAAGAGGGTTCAGCCTGAATTGAGGACGACGCAGAGAGTGATGGAAAGGAAAGTGATAGGTGTAACCTTAAGGGACAAGAAAAGAGCAGAGTGGTTCAGGAAACAAACAGAGGTTAAAGATATCATAGTCGAAATCAAACAGAAAGGAACATGGGCCGGGCACGTATATAACATGTAGGCAGGATAACATCTGGTCATTAAGGGTAAGTGACTGATTTCCAGAAAAAGCAAACGCACGAAGGGGAAAAAGAAAACTAGGTGGGCCGACGAGATTAAAAAGTTCGCAGGTATAAGGTAGCGACAGAAAGTAGAAGATCAGTTTGATTGGAGGATCATGGGAGAGGCCTTTGCCCTGCAGTGGGCGTTGTCAGGCTGATGATATGACCCTGTGGAAAACACTCGTGGTGAAATAGCATTCTTGATACTGGTCAACAATCATCTATAAGGATCTGTTAGTGGGCTAGTTATAGTACATGTCTTGATATATACTTTGTTGTCTTCATGTATGGACATATATAGCACCGTCTAATGTCGTTGATGTATCTTCTCTTGCCGTCGTTTTCTTGCGCTGCGCGATATTAGTAGAAACAGATCATCATATGATGCAACGAGGTAAAGTAGCGAAATTGTACCAAAACTCCACGAAACTATAAACGTAGATCCATAGTTTGTAGATGCGCCGTCCAGCATCAGTGTCATTCGTATGTCATTTTAGACTGTGGTACAAGGATTCATGAATTCAAGTTTCCTTTTGCACCACATATACGTGTACCATTTCTACCACGTGCTATGGTACAAGATCTATCCAGTCGTTTGTGGGCCCCTGTAACAGCTCATGAGGGGTTACAGTATTATAAAAAATGTAATCCCGTTTTCTACTAACACGGTACGCGCAGGATGGGCCACTTGCGGGCACTGGAGATGCTGGACCTGTCCTTCAACCAGCTGACCACAGTGCGTGCCTCGTGGTTCAAGGCGCAACTGAGTGGCAGCCTGCGCTCCCTGCTGCTCAGGGGCAATCGCATCAATCGCATTGAGAACGGTGCTTTCGCCATGCTATACCGCCTCTTCCAGCTGGACCTATCACACAACAATATCGCAACCATCGAGCGCTCCATGCTGCCAGACACACTCCTTTTCCTAGACCTCAGGTCAGGGAAACACCCAGTCAACGCTCATTTCTCATATAAACATTAATCGCGATGCTTATTTCCATCGTCTTGCTTTCCCGGCATTTAGTAGGCTCGGGCAGCACATGTTTCCTCTTTGGGATGCAGTTTTAGTGCGAGTAGCACAATATAAAGATGCCTCTTTTGCCCGTCTATAGTAAGATATTTTATGCTGATGGGCTTAATTCAACAGAGTAGCTGAACACGCTTATTACATCACAACAACTGGTTCATTCAGGTCGAAGGAGAAAACAATTATGACCGAAACAAACCCAGAGCGGCACTTCTGGTGAACTGCTTCTCATCCCGTCTCACAATGAACCTGCCACGATGCAGCTGGAGTATATGAAGTGCATTCAATTTGTTTACAAGGAATGATGCCTTAGACATTCATAACATACCGTTAGGACTTGACACAGTACAACTTACATTCACTTTCAGGAATGAAAATTTAAGCAGCACTCATGTGTTTAATGTAACACTTTAATGTCATGTTTAATGTCAGAATGAATCATGCTTGTTTTGATAATCGTGAAAGGTGGGAATCATAATGACTTAGATAAAAGTCAATTTTGGTGTTGCCACTGTTTGGGGGGCATCGAAAAGTTATACGCTGTCGTAGGAAAGTTTTTTTTTTTTGATACGTTTCATGTATGTATAGTAAAAAAAATGCGAATTTAGCAATAGTATATCAACAAAGGAAGTCCTACTGACGATAAAGGAAAACGTAGCATGAAATATAACGAGGAAGTCATTATGCTTGCGTTATTTTAGTACGGATTTTCACTGCCTCCACCATAACATGCCACTTGGTAGTGTTAAATGTTATAGAGTACGTGGTCACGAAAGAAGGGGAAATTTAATTGCTGTGTTATTTTTTGTTAAACACGACATAATTGACAACCAGCAAGCAGTCACCGCAATTTAAATGTATTATACAGGAGACGGACATGTTATTCGAAGCTGGAAGGTTCGGTATTTTCGTTCACTTTATTGCCTTCGCGTGTGTATGTCATAATTACTTCCCCTATATTTTCGCGGGATTCATTGCCTGTTGGTTGTAATAAATATTGAATGCTTGGTAGCTGTTTATCTCTGCTTAAATATATTAGTGCTTGGTTCCAGCGCTTGAAAAGTCGCATCTCGTCTTGCCTAACAAATTTGGTCTATATACCACGAGTAGGAGGAGAGCTTAGTGTATAAGTATTGTCACGCGTAGTGTAAAAAAAAAAAGCATGAGCCTCAGGCTCAATTCATTTATATGCTGAATACTTCTCTGCAATAATATCTAAAACTGATGTGTTGAACTTACCAATATTATGTAATGACGAACTGCTGGAAAGGTTATCCATCTGGTCTCTGTTAATTAAGGGCAAATCTAAAGCAACTAAAACGAAGGTTAATCTTTTTCGCTTCTGAAATAGGTTGCTTCAGTCAAATGACAGTGTTCTATTTGAGCTCAAAAATACAAAGAGCGGACAGTCATGAAATTTCTGTTGAGCACTTTCCTGCACACCTTTCTTGTGAGATGCATGTAAATTATATCTGTAAAAAAACAAACATAACGATGTCGTAGTTCGCTTCCCACACCACTCAAAAGACATATCTGTGATGCAATGCTTAACGTAGGCTTTTACTTATGCGCTGCATTATTGTGTACAGCCACCATACTAACGCATGTAGAGTTTTTGCTTTAGAGCAGTAGCTACTTCGGTACTTGAAAAATAGGCATTGTTATTTAAGCAGAAAATATTCGTTATCCTGGCTCGTTCTTTTAGCGCTACATTTTCTGCAAATGTAGTGAAGAATTATTTATATTGTGAGCGTCATTTATACGCGCCATATTATCATATGTAAATACGTGTTTTTTTACTAATACAGATTTTTAAAGTGAAAATGTCATACGAGTGCTATAAAAGTGTGAGGACGACAGGCCCATGTAGTCAGCGCCGATTCCGTCTTAGTGAAAAACTTGCCGCACCTAAAGTGGCATTGCAAGGAGTAATTGACAAATATTCATTATTTAACTTTTGAATTATTTGTATTTGGGATATTATCTATAGGTTCTAGGACGGAAAAATTTATGACATATTTATTGAAAAGCAATGCCATAAGAACACACGTAATTTATTATAGTAACCAAAATTCTAGGCCACGATTCGAGTGAAACTGAAATCGAGCTAACAGGAAACCTCTGCATGTCGCGTGACAATTTTTGAAAAAAAAAAAAAAAGGCGCGTAGCAGCAGAACATTGCCCAGAAAAACGGCTGGTCGTGTCAAATGCACAGTCGGGCCGCTTATGCTTTTCATCTGAAGATGAACTGGTATTGTGACAACTCCGGTAATCAATCTTGGTTCGCCAATTTTGTGAGAAACTGCTTCAATGCTTCATGTTCCCCTACTTGGCCGGTGTTCCAAAAATAGTCTGTCCGCGACGTGAAATCTCCATATTCAGCGTAAACTGCACTCTCAGTCCAGTCATGAATACACGCTCGCAGGCAGAAAATTCGGTCAAAATATGGCCCCTGCTTGTTACGTGGCTCTGCCATCATGTTCCAGAGGAAGCGGCCCTATTCGAAGTGGCCTTCGGAATAAGAGTGAGCACACTTAGCCGGGATTTTAAGTAAAATATTTTCGGGCACAGCCTGCATGCAGTTAGGCATGACGGCTCTGCAGGAGGGCTTTTATGCGGTAGAGAAAACAATAATTTTTAACGCTGTCCCAGCGTGCTCTTGCCAGCTTGGCAGGACCAATTATTATTACGGGTAGTTAGAAGATTAATCGCATCACCATAGAGTTAATATAACAGAATCTTGAGGAAAGGCTGGGCCCGGGAAAGCTATAACCACTGAAGCGCTAATAACGCGTACTCTTCTATTACACGCCCCGCCGTGGTGGTCTAGTGGCTAAGGTACTCGGCTGCTGACCCGCAGGTAGCGGGATCGAATCCCGGCGACGGTGGCTGCTATTTTCGATGGAGGCGAAAATTCTGCAGGCCCGTGTGCTCAGATTTGTGTGCACGTTGAAGAATTCCAGGTGGTCGAAATTTCCGGAGCCCCCCACAGAAAGACCCTACTGAGCTTAAGCAGTAGCAGCAGGAACAATCATATGAAAACCAAAAGTATTCCTCGATTGCCTAACGAGAAACTGGTCGAAGTGGATCAGATAATCGGTCAGAAAGTCGAAACAGATCACGCCAAGTGACATTGACGTAGGGCATCGCGTGTCCACAAACGAAATAAAGAACATAGTCATTAAACTTTTATGTAGAACTACACGGGGCAAAGTGCTTCAAGGAGCGCAAAAAAAAAAAAAGGTTTACAAGCAATGAAATGAGCTTCCCAGCACCAGTCCTGTGTATACGACGACGAGCACCTTTGCCCAGAGAACAAAGCATTACTAGACATGACAATTGCCAGAAAGAAAGGGCTGGAAGATTGCGTGGGTGTAGTGGAGTGGTGGAGGAAGAAGGATGCATTAAATGACAAAATCCAACTAATTTATTTATAATTTATAATAATTTATGGTCTGCGTGTGCTACTCTTCGTACGTACGTCTACTTCATCCTCACGGCAGCACGCGACAAGGCCTTCCGCCGTGCATACGGAGTCCAAATGTGGCCATTAGACAGTCCTGAGGTTGAGAAAACGGAGTGGCCAAAGGGTACTCAACTTTCTTCGGGAGGCTGTGAGTTGCGCCGAGGGCAGAGAGACATCCTGCGTGAACAACACGAGCCAGGTGCGTGCGAGACGCGTGGATACAACTGTCGCCTGCACCTTGCCGTGAACCCGGTGTCGTTCAGCATGAGTTGGCTCTCTCGCAGGCCAGTGACGTCGTTGTGATTTGAAAGAATGGGTGGCCAGGATGAAAGAGACATGGCGTTCACGCTTATGCTTCGGTCACACGCCACTTGCAAATCGAACAATAACAGAGATGCGGTGGTGCAAGAAGCGTCTCAGATGGCGTCTTGCACGAACAGAAGCAGCGCGGCAGTGTCGGCGCTTAAACGGGAGCGCAGCAGGTGGTCCGCAGGAGTAATCATCCGTCAGGCACGGCCGCTGTGAGCGTCGCGAAGGCTCAAGTGGCACGGTGGCGACATTGGACAAAGCTGTCTCCTCACTTGACGAAGGAAAAGCAGCTTCAGCGAATGCTAGCTTGTACGGCCGGTGGCGCTGGCACATGACATGATAATGTCGCTGCTACATCTCTGAGTTTGAAAGACGCTTGCGACGGCGTTAGCAGGTGTAGTATATAGACAACGCTGTTGGCGTAAGACAACTCATTCGTAGCACGTGACGTGCACAGCGTCGTCTTGGGAGCCGCATCGAAAGCGATGTTTTGCGATGACTGCATAGCTACCTGCGAATCGATTGATGCTGTATCACTCAAACCCAGTGGAACCGGACTTGTCTTGTTGCGGCTGCGTGATTGTGATGGCAGCTATGTCAGAAAAAGCTGTAGGCGTGACGTGACACTGATTTGTGGCCCTTGACGGGCTCAGTGCCGTCTTGGGTGCGTAATCGAAAACCATGTAATGCAATGTCTGCGTGGTCATCTGCGAACTGCCTGATGCCGCAGAGCTAAAACCTAGTCCTGTCGAACAACTCGAGTTCGCTTATTTCGGCAGCGTGGTAGTGACGTAGCACTCACTGCCGGTTGAGGTAGAGCTAGCACCAAACCTCGAAGGTGGTCGTATGCCTGTGGTCCAGGAGTAGGCGCAATGTATCGCTGAGCAGGAGGAAGCATGGCTACCGTGATGGCATACCTTTCCTGCTGCGAGACGTTGTTGCGCAGGTGGAAACCAGCCTCCGTCTCGAAGAGCCAACAAGCTGGTCTTTCTGGCCAAAATTCAGGAAAGTCTGGTGATAGAAGGATGCAGGGTGCCGCGTTTTCACCAGGTAATTGCGTCATGGTGATAGGCGAGTCAGGAGTTAGTTGGCTCGGTGCGAGTGTTCTGTGGAAGCTTATAGAATGTCATTCC